GTCTTTTGAGTTACATTATGTTGGAAAGGATGCAAATCAGAATTGCCCTGATATATATAATGTAAAAGCAAATAAACATTTTCTTTAACTTATAATTTTTGTACTTTAATTTATTTGTTTGTAATTGCTCGAGTATTCAACGTTTTGCTTTTGAAAATTGCTTAAAATTTTGAAAACCCAATTCATCTCCTCTTGGGTTATCATCATTTTGGCCGATAATGAATACTTCAATTGCTCAAAGCTCTAGAGTAAAAAACTAAACAAAATTCTTTAATATAAATTTAAGACAAAATCCCTCGCATGGTTGGGCAGGGCTACTAATTTGTAAGATTTCTTTTTCCAAAAAAAAAAAAGAAAAGAAAAGAAAAAAGAAAGAAAGAAAAGTGGATGGAATGGAACCACCCTAAACAAATTTACCAGTTTTCTTTTACACGTTTCATAAAAGATTTGTATGACGGGACAAATCCTCTTCTTTTCAAAATGCCTCACCCACCATTCTCAAATCTTTGATTACGATGTACAAAATGTCCTTAATTTTTTTCAACAGCCACAATTCACAAACCACTATCAAACCACTCTATGCCGAATTTCCTCTGTGGTAGCAAAGGGAACCTTAATTTTTCTCTGTTCAACTTCCGCTGTCCTGTTTAGAGTTCCATGAACATTGAGAAAAACCACAAGGTTTTCATTTACATTCACAAGCGAACACCCATCTGGTGCAGCATCTCTTCCCCCAAGGAGAACCTGTAAGAATAACAATATGAGTGGTGAGAATTTGATGCACATGGATTCCACCATGCATGTGTTAAGTCCTTAAGTCAGTCGAGTCACTTCAACCATAGATATCAGGGTGAATGCAAAACTCTAGCATTTTGCATGCAAACAACTAGGTGATTTGAAATGGTCGATGGTAAGAAATGTATACTCAAATCTATCAATATCTGCAGTTGAAAAACTCAGCATTTCTTATCAGTTAAAGACGTTCAAAGGATTCTCATAATGAATCATACTCCAGGAGAGGGGCAAGGTGATCAAGAAGAGATGTTAAAGAAATGTGTAACCTTGATACGGTAATTTCAAGGAGAGGTTGTTGACACTGCTAATGGCAGAGTATAAGCTTTTAATGTTCAAAACTTTACGGTCAGGTTTGGGTGGATGGAGTGGTCATTCCTTCGTCAAACTATAAAAACATTACCCACAAGAAATAGTTATTCCTTATAACCAAGACTTAATGAGAGGTGTAATTAGCTATTACCATTTATCTTATTTTTACCGGTTTGACCAAGTAATTAAAAGATACAACTAACCAAAAAATGTCATACATCCAAAGGTGATAAGAGTGGCTAGAGTTAAGATCTCTAATTTGTGACTTCCAATGGTTTCAGCTACAGCATCAGTTTGACACAAAGCAAAAGCAGGCAACCTGGAGAAGAACAATTATTAAAATCTAGATGTCCTTGATAACATGACTGCTGTTTAGACCTGTGATTGAAATTAAACCCAAACCAGAATGACAAAAGAAAATGTTACATTCACTTACCTTTTATTTTTCTGCTTAGCAAGCAGCTCTGCCCTCCGTGACCTGAGACTTCTCACAGTTGACTCTACAAGATCCATATCCTGTTCAACCCTGTCATCTGACCAACTCTGCTCCAAGAAGAAGAACACTCAAATGTCTTGTCATCAATATTCATTGTCAGGATCACCAACCTAAACTTAACCAGCCAAAAGAGATCTTTGGTGCTATGAATACTACTGATAAAAATTCATTAAAATTCTAAAAGCTTGAAGTTAGATAAAAAAATTATAAGAAAACACAAACATATTTGATTAGCTGCGATGTTGTAAAAGTAGAGGTTAAGAGCCAAATGAATCTTAGGCATGGCTACTTAAATTAAAATTACCTCTACAGGTGATGGATACTCGCATATCATTATGGACTCTTTCCTTGCAAGGTCCCTTGCGCCAGGTAGGCGCTGCCACAATTCTTCAGTAAGAAATGGCATAAAAGGATGAAGCAAGCGTAGACCAGTTTCAAGACACAGCCAAAGAGCATCTTTTCTATATCTCCTTTCAGAGGAAAAATGCCAGACAATCTCCAGCAAAGTAAGGCTTGATTGCTTCAATGAAAACATCACAAGACTGATATTGCCTGTTGGGTTTTTTAAAACAAAGAAATGGAGAGAACCGAGAGGAAGAAGATGAAGAGCAGAGCACATAAAATGGAGAGGAGTATATCACTCCAACTCAAGAGATATCATTGATATTTTACTACATTTATAGCAGAAACAATACAATAAAAAAACAATTTTTTTCTCACCTAACATTTTACCCAATACAAGAAAATATTAAGCATTTAAAACAAGGATTACATTCAAAGATTTACTGCCATTTCTTGTAGCGCATGTGAAGCTCCATTGTGCTGTCACTTTGCTGCTACTCTGTAATCATGTTGCAGCTCTCACGTCTTTCCATTTGCTGCTACTTTGGCAGCTTGAACACCACAACTCCAACATTGCCACCATGAATACACAGCGCTGGCTGCATCCGAAAACTCGTCTGAATTCAGGGACTCCACTGTTTTTTTTTTTTAACACTTTATTCAGCACTGAAAGAATCCACTTGCAACCGAAAGGCATTGTCTCTGGGTTTATGGTTGATGGAGGTGCGTAATCATCTCCAGGTTTGGTCAATCCAAATCGTACAGCATTCCAAAGCTTGTTATGTTACAGTGTCACTTAACAAGAACTAAAGGGGGTGGAAAAGGTACAGGAAGAAGACATAATATATATGTAAAAGGAAATATGAACCTGAGCTGATAGGAGAGAAGTGAAAACCTAAGTGCATCAGCTCCACATTCAGCGATACCATTAGGAAAATCTTTCACCTGTCCTGCTTTTGCAACAGCCACCTCATTTGGATCCAAGTTGCTCTCCTCTAGCCTCTTGTGAAGACCTTCAAGGGATATGCCATTTATTACTTCAAGAGGGTCAATTACATATCCCAGAGACTTTGACATCTTACGGCCATGCGCATCACGTATCATAGGGTGCAAATAAACCTGCATAACATTAAATTCATTGACAGATAAGAAATCTATAGAAAACCTTGCAAGTAAACAACCAACAATGACAAGGTTTACATAGAGTGTAGGAAAAATATTCCCACCTTTGTAAAGGGCACATCACCTCCCAGTTTAATTCCTAACATAACCATTCTAGCCACCTAGAAGAAGAGAATGTCAT